GGACGTTGGCAAGGTTGTCTGGGTGTTTGTTATCAGTAACAGAAAACATAGAAGCTGGAAGAATAGTACATAAATGCATGATATTTTGGTTTCTGTTTAACACCATTTCTCAGTTAGTGGCTTGGTTAATAGCATTAAGTAATCAGTGCGTTCCATTTTTCCTTTCAAAATATATTTCAAACTTCTAGAGGGATAACAGGTACAGAGTCTTTCCCCATATATTGATCCCCCACTACAGGGGTTAGGTATGTGAAAAATTGTAAATACAAAAGTTTTGGGGTTTTACCTGAAATTTTTGAATCCGATGTCAAAAACTTTTTTGTTTTTTAGAAATGTCAAATTTTGCCAGGTGGTCAGTTTTTTCTTATGGAACACCCTATATATGACTTCATAGTTGGAGAGAGTCGAATTTTCTGATTTGAAATATACAGGGTGTCCCAAAAAGATACCGACAAACTTTAAGGGGTAGTAGGGGACATCAAAACAAGCAGTTTTGTTTATATAAACATATGTCCGCAAATGAGCCATTTGGGCTGTAGAGCAAAAAAACTGTTTGGTATCTAGTTTTATTCTTTATAATAATTAAATCACTATTTACTTATTAATTTTGCTTTAATAGCAAATAAATTATGGTTTACAATAATAATTCAACTCGCGAACTCTTTGGAATATTCCGGGAATAGCTTCTACATGGGTACAACTCGCCAGTTTCCTTGCTATCAGATCTTCCCCATTACGAACAGGTGTTTCGTAGACTAAACTTTTCATTCAATGACCCGACGGTGTAATCTTTGCATTGAAGTAAATGGTCAACATTTTGAACAATTATTCTAAACCATAATTTATTTGGTAATAAAGCAAAATTAATAAATAAACAGTGATTTAATTATTGCAAAGAATAAAAGTATCAAACAGTTTTTTTGCACTACAGCCCAAATGGCTCATTTGCGGACATATGTTTATATGAACAAAAATGCTTGTTTTGATGTCCCCTACTACCCCTTGAAGTTTGTCGGTATCTTTTTGGGACACCCTGTATATATGGTTTAACTACATACTTTTAATTAATAGAACGGTAATTTCCAGTTGCCCACCTATTTTTCAATAAGATGAACGTTTATCCTAATTGACATATGAATTGATCGACTGGAAATTACTGTTCTAGGATGGTTCTCATGTCGGTTGGAATAGAGCTGAATGGTTTGAATGTATTGGTTTCTTGAAGTTTAGAGCCCGATATTTCCAAAACGGCTCAATTAAAAGTAGTTAAACCATATATACAGTGTGCGCCATAAAGTTGGGTACATATGGGAAAATTCTTGATTATTCCTTTTTTCAAAAAGTGATGACAAAAAGTTGTTTAGAATCCAAAAAGAACTCCACATGCCGATTTTGAAGCGAATCAGAGAAAAAAAATAAAACTACCTATTTTACCGATACCATTAAATGGAAAATCGAAAATATCAATTTTATTTCAAAAATAGCTTTATTCAACTCAAGTTTGATATCAAACGAATCGATTATTTTTCGAAATACACACTTGAAGGTCATAAATTAGAAAATACCGTCCGGACGTGTCGCTATAACTGTACCCATGTCCCTTTTTGCACATTTTCTGGTCATCAGAAAAATAACATGACATGTGACATAATCGATTTTTTGGTTATCGAACATGCCCTAACGATTCCCAAAAAAATTTTTTTTGGAAAAACGGATAATTAAGAATTTTCCCAGATGTACCCAACTAAATGGCGCACACTGTATTTGAAATCATAAAAATCGACTCTTTTCAACTTTAAAGTCATATATGGGGTGTTCCATAAGAAAAAACTAACCATCTGTCAAAATTTGACATTTCTGAAAAAACAAAAAAGTTTTTGACTCGGTTTTTGACATCTGATTTCCATTCCCCTGTAGTGGGGGGTCAATATATGAGGAAAGACCCTGTACCTACGATCAGCATTGTTGAACTACCCAATCGACCTGTGTCCAGAGGAATTTTTTTTTTCCTAAAAAATACAATACTACAAACTTGACTTCAAACATGGTTGATGAAGTGCTTACCGCTCTGAACGTCATGCACACTTCAGAATATTGAAAACCCTAATTAGTTAACTGGTGTATCCAACCCTTACTTCAATTGAAGATAAAACTTAGCTCTAGCACAAAGTGCATCTTCTTGAAACTCTGACGAATCTAATTGGAATGTTTTCCCATAAGGATAATTCATATGTACAATCATCCCCTTAACAAACAAAGTGAAACTCATCCTTGTAGGGCTGTAGGCGAATTATTGATATAGCAATTCACAAAGTGTATCTTTTTGAGAATGTGACAAGTCTAATTAGAATATTTTCCTTATGGAAAATTCCTTGGAAAATGTATGGTAATAGTGTCGAGTGAACAATCCACTGCATAGAAGCAATACAACCTCATATAGTGTGAGGTGTACTATGAATTTTCCTCGGAATTTTCCATATGGAAAATATTCCGATAAAACTTTGCTATCAAACATGTGGCGCTTTGAGCGGAAAAAATTGTTGACTAATGTCATGTTCATATCATAGATGACGTTATGGCTTACAATCACATACAGTAACTTAATAACCCTTACAAACAGTGGCGACAATAGAGGTCCTGTCGCCATTTTGTGTCCCACTTCTTGCTAATTTTAAATATGAATATGTAGGATTTAAATGGACATCTATCATGAAAAATTGAAAACAATGTATTTGATGACTATTATTAGCTACATCAAATACGTTGTTTTCAATTTTTGATCATGGATTTTGAAGAACCAATCTAAAATAAGACTGCAATTGTCGCCACTGTGGTAATAGTCACTGTACAATCACATACAGTGACTCTGTGACCTGTGTTGTTTTTTTAACTGGCACTACTGATTTCTGCTGTAAGGTTTTTACTGAAAATCTTTGTTTCTTTTTAACCAGTATGCTGTATTACTGGTTGATTTTGAAACGGATTTCAGTATTGAATGAAAGAGCTAACCTAACTATTATAAGGCAATCCAATCAAATAGTGGCCTAGGGTAAACAGTGTAATTGGCTCTCTAAGAATTTCATTCACCTAGACAACCCAACCGTGACGTTTTATTATCATAAAACTATTTTCTGTGTATTTGGTGGTGTTTTAAGGTGATTAATATTTATTTATCCATACAAATAAATTAAATGCTAAAATCCAATTTGTATCATTAAAACAGTATGCCCAAATCACTATTCAGGGTTAGAAATGATTTCAAGTAAACAAAAATTGAAAGAACTGGTAAAAAAAACTAACCAAAAAACTTGAGTAGTTCTGCCTTTTTGCTGATGACCAAAAAAAGGCATAATAAGCTCCAAGACAAATCGTGTTTCAACGTTAACAAACAGTGTTCTGTCTCTCCAGGAACAACATAAAACGAGACATAACGAATAACGATGAGAACTGCTTCCGCAACAACTACAATACATACTGCAGACATTGATGAGAAAATGAAAGTCAAAGTAGTTACTTATGCTGTCCTTTTAGACTAAGTAAGTTAATTAAGATGCTGGAGAAACCTATACCGCACATTCTATTATAGATCCTCGGTATCCGGTATCATCGAGGGCATCATATACTACCAGACTATAATAAGCCTGTTGTTTTAATAGGGTAAATAGGTAGGTATGGATCTTTTAAAAATACTCAATGATCCAGACAACTTCATCTCTGCTGGTAGATAATTAATTATCTCAACAGTCTCATATTATATCACACTAGTTTTAGGTATGGGTAAACGAAAATTATTTTTTGCCTTGTCGGGTATATCTTTTATGAGAAGAGTTGGTACCAACATGTACCCAACTATTATATCTTTCAAAGATAAGCGTATTTATTTTATTTATTCATTTACTCAAGCATTCACCACCATTTCAACAGAATAGTTTATACTCTAGTTTATATGAATAATGATACATTATATATTGTATAGCACCTGCAATGGTATAAAACTCATACAACCGTATGCGACATCGTCTTCTAACTTTAAAAGCGCTTTTAAAACTCTTGTCAGTTTTACAAATTCGCTCACAAAGTTGTATTCTAAGCAATACGAATTTTTAAAATTGACAGCTTTCAAAGTCGCTTTTAAAGTTAAAAGTACATGTATGTACAGGTGAAACAGGTTAATCCGAGGGTTAATCGCTCAGTTAATCTGATACTCTCTAGATGCGTTTTTGAACATAGCTATGAAATACATTTTTTTGTTACGTGGACCTTTGCCTACCTACACATACAATATATTCCCAAACCTGCTAATTGTTCTTGTTCTCACACAGCGTCAGCCGCCTGATTCTATTTTACGAGTCGAGTCGCAATTCGTATTAAATGTCAAAATAGCGATTTTATTTTTCGATTTTTGGATACGTATTACTCGGAATTTTACCACGAGACATTTTAATCTGGTTTTGTTTGTACAATTCAGCAAGACTTGTTTTTGTAGCTCTTAATTTGTTTGTTGTTTCAATATGTTGCTCCATGTTGCTCCGTTTGTTCTTTTTTTTTCTTGTTAATCTAAGCTTTGTGTAAGTAAGTGCTTTTATAACCTCTTATTTTTTATATTTTAACCAATGATTTTAACAATAATTTTTATTCATTTTCTTTTCAGTGTTTCTATCTTAGTATTGAGACATTTTATAGTTATGAATTATGTTGTGATTATCTTATAGTTTGTAGTCGTATGCATCATTTATTTTATTTTACTGAATTAGTTTATAGTTTCTGTATGTCTATATCTTTTTTCCTTATTTTTTATTTTATTGTATTTATTAGAGCTTTGTTAACAACATTTCATGTTTCATAACAATAAAGCATTATTTGATATTTGATTTGGTACGTCCGGAGCTATCGTATTCGATATCGAGTGTCATAACAGACAATTCGACTCGACACGTAAAATAGAATCCAGCAGCAGGTAATTTGACACTGCGGCTAATAATAATTATATTTTATCGTAGTGACTGATCCAGTATGACTTCTTTAACGACAAGCGCCCCTTCATCTGCTGATGCCTGTCTAAGTATTGTTCATAGTTTGATGTGCCATAGACAAGGCGGAGAAAGTGAAGGGTTTGCTAAAAGAGCGATAGAATCATTAGTAAAGAAGTTAAAAGAGAAAAGGGATGAATTAGATTCTCTTATTACGGCTATTACAACAAGTGGAGCCCACCCTAGCAAATGTGTTACTATCCAGAGGACTTTGGATGGGAGATTACAGGTGGCTGGAAGGAAAGGTAAATATTAAGCTAATTTGATTTCCAGTTCTATTAGTTTATATATGAAGTACATATACACAGTTGTCTAACTAAGGTAGAGGTTCAATATTATGAAATCCATAAACCTTATGGTTTCGGGGAAAAAGAAGTATACATTAAATTGGCCAAGAGAAATTGACGGATAATATCTTTAAGTGTTTTATCACCAGTAATAAGGGTGGGATAATCTGAAATAGTTGCTATACCTATTTTTCCTTCTTGGCATGCAAAGTTATCAATTCTTAAAAAAGAAATGTTAAATTAGCTTTAAGGCAGGGCTACACATGTGGTATAACAAATTACATCTGGGGTGTCATTCATTGCTAAACAATCAGAACGCACTTTCGGGAAGGCCACCCTCATCAAGGAAAATATAAAGGATTCCCTGATTTGAGAATCTAGGGTAAGAAAAAATCCAAGACGATAGCAAAAATACAAATCAGCCTCTAAATATAAACCAACACTACAAGATAGGTATAGTTCTTTTGTCAGGTTACACTTTCTTTGCTAGACGCTTCGGTAGACGTTTCTAGTCCACAGTATAAAGAAGTGGCATAGTGTTCCAAGTCTCTTCCGCTTCACAGGTTTTTTGCAAAATCAATTAGGTATTGATCTTGTTATCTTTTTATTTTAGGATTTCCGCATGTCATCTATGCAAGGATCTGGAGATGGCCTGATTTACACAAAAATGAACTAAAACACGTTAAATACTGTCAATTTGCTTTTGACTTGAAATGTGATTCAGTTTGTGTAAATCCTTATCACTACGAACGAGTGGTTTCACCAGGAATTGATTTGTCGGGACTTACTTTGCAAGCTGGAGCTCCCCGTATGAAAGATGAATATAGTGCAGGTACTGTGTCAGGTACTTCCATGGAGGTGGACAGTGATCTTGGCATAACAGTATCACAAACAATACAACATCATCCTCCACAGCAGAATTTCAATTTGGCAGCCCTGCAATCACCAACAAGTAAGTTTTAAACTAGCTTTGGACGATTTCGCAGTGAAATTAAAACAGTAATAGAACTAGAAAGTAGTTAAAAATGGCTTTGTAAGATTTGATTTAATCGAGTTGATATTAATTTGTCTTTGATTATTATTTACAGACCTGTGAGGTTGGAATATTTTTGCTATTGGCACAGAAATATAGCTACGTTTTGAATCCTTGTAATTGAATTTAAGCCTTTAATTCTTGAAGTAAAATATATATTTTTTTTAAATTTAGATATTTATTTTAATTTTATTTGTCATAATTTTTAGTTATGCATGTTTTTTTTTTATTACTATGGTAGACGATCCTGGATTGTATAGTTCTTCAAATAGAGGCATATTGGGTCCTAGATTACCAAAAATCGAGGGTGGACCAGACCCCAACAGGTCAAACTGGTTGCCACATATGCATAGGCCTCGTAAGAATATTTTTAGTTTGATTTCTATTTGCTTTATTTTGTACTTGCCGCTTGCCAAATTACGATAATTATTTTTTAGGTCATCCTGCTCAGACTCAGGTAGCAGCAACAGTTATAAATAATCAACAAACAGGGCCTTCTACGTCGAGCATGCATAGTTCAGCAGTTCATAACAGTCCAGGGCAGTTTTATAGTAATGCACAAACAGCGATCAATTCCGAAAGATCACAAGAAACCATTACACAAAATATAGGTGAGGTGGTTAATAGAAAAATTTTCTAAAAAAAAATATGTTTTTTGTGATGTTTTTCTTAGTAAGTAACTCGCCAGTGTCTCCTCGTTTGCAACAAAATGGATTCAATGGGTCCAACAATACAACTGTTAATAGTGCTTCTGGCAATGCCCAACCTGCTACAACTCTTCCCCAATCATATATTACTGGAGCTGGTGGTACTTGGACTGGATCAAACACGCTCACATATACTCAAAGTATGCAACCTCCTGATAATCGACATCATAGTAATACTTATTGTAAGTTTTTTTAGTTATTTTTTAGTTTATTTTTCCAAAATTTATTTTTTCCAAATTTATTTTTTCCCAGGGAATCACAATTCCTCAAACCAATTAGGATCAGACGTAAATATTGGAGGATTATTATCTACTCAACCTGCACCAGAATATTGGTGTTCTGTAGCCTATTTTGAGCTGGATACTCAAGTGGGTGAAACCTTTAAAGTTCCATCGAATTGTCCCAACGTGACAATTGATGGTTATGTGGATCCTTCTGGTGGAAATAGGTTTTGTTTGGGCGCATTAAGTAACGTGCATCGTACTGAACAGAGTGAGAGAGCAAGGTAATTTAGAGTATAATGACGTGTCTTGAGTTACCTAAAAAGTATACTTCGAGGGGTGATACTACATATGAAAATAACAAAAAAAAATCCTATGAACATATGCCCAGATGCTTTTTTGTTTTGTGAGTAACTACCCTCTACCCTTATGGAAACTACCCTTTCAGAACTGTTACGACTTTTTTCTATCACCATTCGCATTGGCATCGAAGTGTATGCATGAATACCAAATTTGAAAGAAAATAGTTTGCCACTGTTCTTGAAAATGAATAAAATCTATTATTTTCATCTACCATTTGAAGGGCTGTAACTTCTTCTTGAGAGTGTTATATAAAAGATCTTGTAGACGATGTGCCACAATATGTCAAGGGGTTCAACAAGTCCTCATATTGCTGATCCATTCAAAAAAAAAACAATTTCAAGATGTTAGAATAAACAACTAACAAAAATGTTCAGCAAAATAAATTTATATTATGTGCTTTATAACACAGGAATAGCTATAATAAAAACATAAGCAAATTCAAGTAAATAAATGAAGCCTCATTTTGTCCTTGACTCGATTCTATAAAACTTTTAGGCCGCAGGTCCAAGTCAGTATGTGCCACGTTAAGTATAAATAAACGAGTAGGTACCTAAACTTGCCATCTCAATCTTGATAAATTTTCATAGGCTTCTGTTCGGGATCCCAGGGTATCATGGTGATAGACCGTCAGCTGATGACAGATTTTGCTGACCGATTTTCTCTCTTCGGGGATTTCAACTACTGAAAATAATATCAGTGCTGAGCTCAAAAAATGAAAATCGGACGTCTGCTAGGCATATGGAAAATTTACTTTCGTTTTGTAGCGACTGTAAGAGAAAACGATCAGCAACCGTATATTCTTTCACAAGATTGCGCCTTTATTTCAACCCTTTCAGTACGTGCAAACCTTATGGCTTTGGTTTTTCGTTATTAGATTGTTCTTTAAGATTAATGTGTTAAAATGACATGAAAGAGAAATTGGAAAAATAACCTATTTTCTTCTGCAACAGGGAAATAAATTTTCCATATGCCTAGCAGACGTCCGGTCGCTGAATAGTGATTTTCATTTTTTGGGCTCAGCACTGACATTATTTTCAGTGGTTGAAATCCCCGAAGAGAAAAAATCGGTCAGCAAAATCTGTCATTGGCTGACGGTCTATAAAGATAAGAAAATGATATTCAAAAAGTGAAGAAAAAAGTAAATACTCTGTTGTTTCTAAGTCATCTTAAATGAAATTTTATTTGAAGGTTGCACATTGGTAAAGGTGTCCAACTTGACCTCAGAGGAGAAGGCGATGTTTGGTTGCGTTGCCTCAGCGACCACTCAGTCTTTGTGCAAAGTTATTATTTGGACAGAGAAGCTGGTAGACAACCAGGGGATGCAGTGCATAAAATATACCCGGCAGCATATATTAAGGTACTAGTTCATGATTTTTGGTAACATTTAAAACTATATATCTATTCATTTGGGTATCAATTTTAGGTTTTTGATTTGAGGCAATGCCACCATCAAATGACTACCCAAGCCCAGACTGCACAGGCGGCAGCGGCTGCACAAGCTGCTGCTGTAGCGGGGCACATTCCGGGACCGCATTCAGTTGGGGGAATAGCACCAGCTATCAGTAAGTAATTTTTTTATCTATGGTTGGTAGGCATTAAAGTAGCTTTAGGAAATTTTGCTAGCCTACAGGACAAGATTCAGTATTGTATGAAACTCAGAAAAGGACTTTATTTTCACCTAATCACTTTTTTACTTCATAAAGTTATTTCTCAAATAAAAATAGCTCTATTGTCAATATCGTAAGTTGCAGTACATAAAACTAACAGCAATAAATAAAGAATACATACCTAAATATTGCCACTTAAATAATAAGAAACTAAAAAAATATGTAGATAATAATCAGGATTATTATAAATCAAAATCAATAAGACCGGTGACGTGCCAATACATCACATACGTTAAACTAATAAATTTATAACATTGTTAGATCTACCAATTTTTTCCAAAGGTCTTTCTGCTGCGACTGGTATCGGAGTTGATGATTTAAGAAGACTTTGTATTCTAAGATTGAGCTTTGTCAAAGGATGGGGTCCCGATTACCCTAGACAGTCCATTAAAGAAACCCCTTGCTGGATAGAAGTTCATTTACATAGAGCTCTTCAATTGTTGGACGAAGTATTACATACTATGCCCATAGATGGCCCCAGAGGTATAGAATAGATGTAAAATGTTGGTTCCTTGATAACTCCTATTCTAGATTCGAGTTATATACTCCTTTTATGTAGTTTAGGATATTAGTTTTAGTGCTGAAAAAAAGTACTGTGAAGTGCATATACGTAAATATTGTATGGAGATGTATTACTGATATTATTGGTTTACAAATAGGCATGTTTCCGGGACCACAGTCAGATAATAAAATAAATTTAAAAAAACATGAATATACAACCATAATATACCTTCTTTAGACATCATAGCTTTAATGGTTATTTTTACTTCTAAAGTCTAACTTTAGAGAAGCAGTTCAACTTCAATGGAGTTATATATTTTGCTTGATTCAGCCGATACTGAAAGTTTAAACTTGTGATGAATTTCAAGTAGGGGAAATATTTTTCACTGTGACTTTTACTTAGGAACCTATATTTCTACTTTTTAGATAATGACATGTTGAACTTCAAAGTAGCTTCATCAGAAATGTCTGAAGAAGTCTCAACAAAACATGTTACCAATTATTTCAAATGCACACATAAGTGACAGTTTTAGTCAAAAGAATTTCTTCTAGGTACTTGAAATTAGTTGTGATATATTTTCCCACATAACTTATCTCAGGTTTGGGATGTAATTTCTTAGGTCTTAGAAGGTTTGAAATTAATTACTTACTTAGTTAATATATTTTGACAAACTTTTCTGTTCAAATTGTGCAAACAATCACTGTTCTGTAAAAAAAATGAATCTTCTAACGAATATATTCACCAGATTTAATTTAAAATAAAGTAGTGCATATTTCAATCCAAAAAAAATTTTTGAATTTCAAATACTTATTTATTTTATTGATATTGTCAAAGAAAGTGCGCCTCACGGAAGATAAAAAAGGACCGAAAGAATGCGACCACCCGTGCTACGCCCTGTACGTAAACAAACACAACTCTGCATTATTTGTTATCGTATTTAGTATTTCTTGATCGTTTTAGTAAGTGCTTCCTGTCCCCTTTTAGGCGTCGTCCATTATCTTCCGTGTGGCGCAGTTTGCATGTCTTTATTTATTACATCCCATAAATATTAGGTCAATTTTTACTAAAATTCCATGTCATAAATAAAAATAAATGCTCAATATTACAAAAAGTCTGCCTCGAACTGAAGTTACTTGTGCAACGATTACGTATTTGTATATCAGACGGTGTCCTGAATAAGAATGCACTTACTTATAGAGAAATATTTTAATCCTGATTTAAAATAAGTTGCGCATTGCTGGGTTTAGCCTACATACCACCTTTACAGACATAAATATTTGCAACAAAGTTGTGAATCCTAACAAAAATTTCCTAAAACGTAGAACCTACAATTTGGCCTGTCTATTCTGAGGAATATAGCACAACTATGGTCCCGCCCGATCTCACATTGGACTCTTATTAGCCCGGGCCTCCAATGGAAAAAAATCACTTGCCGAAACCTTTTCAAAATGAAGGAAATAGATTGATTGCAAATAGATTAGATACCTTTTCGATTTTAAAGGGATTTTTTTAAAATAATTCAAATTTCTTAAATTGTATAATGTGATGTTACCAAGCACAGTATTGCGCAACTTCTTTCTGATGCCAACAATTTTATACTCATTACAAAACACATTTAGAGAATAACAATTCTATCACCTTTTTGGAGATTATAGGTAGTCTTGAATAAAAGGACTGACCCAAAGAATTCCGTAATTAAACACATAGCAGGTGTTCATTTGAAAAGTCTCACCCTTTCCGAAGTTAGAAGGCTTTTGCACATTTTCAAGTACATTTCTGAGGGGGTATAATTTTCTATGTAAAAAATTAACACTTGTAGAATTTATTCGATTTTCCAAGAAATAGGGGTCGCAACTTTTCAAATCAACACCTGGTACTTATAATAATTTTTGAAAGAATACAAGATGATGGTACCTACGCTGCTGTTTTGTTAAAAAGTATCATTTTCATGGAAAACAAAAATAACACAGGGTTCTAATTTTTGAATGTTTTATACTGTGGAAGAGGTTTTAGAGAATAATATTCTATACTTAAAGACGAAACTGTTTGTTCAAATATTTAGCAGGGCTAGAGAGTCTAGAATTTTCTCTGTAGACTAGGAATCAATATTTTATTGTCGCAAGGCGACAGAAATCCTATATATAGATAATCAACAAGGAATCCTTGTGCCATTTAGTTTTAACTGAATAAGCCAAAACTTTAAATTGCGCACGGTTTGAGAGTGTATAAGGCTGTGATGTAAAATTAGTTTTTAAGGTTTGTATTTCTCTAGTTTGCTAAATAGGTTATGTTATGTAGATAAGTATATTAAGCTTTAACTGTGTATTTGATAGAACTTAGTCATGTTATAGTTCAAGGGCAGCTAAAGATGGGAAAACAAAAATCAGTGTTGAAAAAGAGAATAAGTTCGCATAAAAATATCCATGAAGAATTTCTGTAGAATATCTTAATTTTGAAACAGGAATTTCTAAATGGATATTTAATTTTAGGCTCAAATACACATTTGAATAGGTATCATTTTAAATATTAAGTTGTATATAAGTACCTAAGTTAGAATAAGATTTTAAGAACTATTAACCATTGCATAATATTAAGCGTAGAAGTGAGACTTTGGGCTTGGATGACTGGAATACTGTCATTTGAATTTTGTGGCTGCTAACCCATATCAAAAAATATGTAATATTAGAAAAAACCTCATTAGTGTATTTAAATCAAAGAATCTTCTTTGCGTCATCTTATTAAGCCACTTAACAGGTCCGAAGTCATTGCTGCCATGTATTGCCATGTTGTTTTTGTTTGATCTTTTTGATTTAAGCTATCAGTTTTTTTTTTGTGAATACATACCTGCATAAAATAAAGGTAAAGTGAAGTGTATTTTATTATGTAGCTAAAACACTATTTAAAACGTATAATTGACGTAATGCTCTATAAAATTATAATTTATATTTTTAGCACAAGATATTGTTTTATTTATACCTACAAACTGTCCATGAGAAGAGCCTGTATAAGGTTTCAAGTTTGATGATGACATACAAAAAAAAATCATTTGAAAATTATTACACTATCTAACAAATTGTCATTAAATTTGACAAAATATGTTACTCAATAAAGTATAAGTTACTAAAAATGTCAAATCGGCACAACATTTATTACTCACATGAAAATATAAACGATAATAACAGCCTAATTTGTGTGAAGGAAATATTCAAAATCCAAAAACATTCAGCAAAATTAGGCCTTTCCATTTAAAAAACCAAAGTTGATTCCGGCACGGTACATCAGCTATTCCAGGAACACAATATTTGTGCATAAAAGAATTCCACTTGGTTAAAATAATTATTTCATTCCAGACTTTATGGACGGTCGTTGTAATAAAGCGAAACTATAGGCTAAAATTCGAATTCGTGGGGATTTTATGACACTGTGACTGATTATTTTCTGGCATTTTACTATTTGCTAACAGCGGTAAGTATCGAGAAAGATTTAAAAAATACTATTTACTGTAACAAAGTAATTACAATTATTATTAAAGGTAACAAACAAAACAGTAAGCTGCATCGTATTGTCGCGCTTTGTCGATTGTCGACTTTTTACAAAACGCCTAATAATTTTGCATTCTGACTATGATATATGTATCTATACAGGGTATTTGGTATGGAAAGTTTTCAATGAGTGATAGTTTGGGTCATTTGGAAGCTGTTTGTTCATATGTACCCTCATGCAAAGTGTCGCCGTTTTTTGAGATATCGCCATTTTTAGATATTTTGTATGTATTTAACACATAACTTTTTTTTCTTCCCGTATTGTTTCAAAAAAGTGCATATTAGGAATATCGGAAAAAAAATTAAGGGAGGTTAAAGTGTTTCTACCAAAAAAAATTAATATGCTTTAGGAACAATTTATATATATCCCAAAAATATCTAAAAATGCTGATATGTCAAAAACGACAAAACTTTGCACAAGTGTAAATACATAATATGATAAAACAGCTTCCAAATGACCCCAACTATCACTCATTGAAAACTGCTATTTACTACTGTTAGGTTCAAAGAGAGAGACCGTAAAAGGACCCCGCACACCTTACATGGGATTTTGGCGATCGGTCGATTTTTTTCAAATTTTGATATGTTGTAGAAAATTTAATTCTTAACAACCTTTAAATGAGACGAAATTTTGTAGGTATTACGGCCTTTAAGATATGAGCGTTGAAAGATTAACTTTTTTGCGACTTTTTGTGTGGAGAGTATACGAAATACTGGTGCCACTGGTGTTTATCAGTCAAAATATTGACAGGTTCACATATTTCACGTCACTAACAAATTTTTCAACATAGGCTAAGGCCGGGACCACACTGGGACAAATGTTGACGCCAGTGCGGTCCCAGAATCAGTTCTGAATTGAACTGCGCATGCGCATTTGTTTATTTATGTTCGATATCAACAAAAGCGCAAGCGCAGTTCAATTCAGAACTAAGTCCGAACAAACCTATTACGTTTCACTATAGATCGGCCCTTGGTGGCGATTTATTGATTCCAACGCAGTGCGAGAAGGATAGAGCTAATTCTGGCAAAACACAACGGGATTTGACGGATTTTAGGTGCTTGTTGTTTTTATCAAGGAAGTTGTCAACGTTTGTGTCAACGTTAATTTATTCCGATCGGTTTAATTTCGTTTTTTTTTTTTCAAATATCATTCCCGGATCTGACTATTTTGTTATATTAGATAAAAATATGAGTGTTTACTAATGACATTATATTACGTTTCACTATGGACCGGCCCTTGGGGGCGATTTATTGATTCCAACGCAGTGCGAGAAGGATAGAGCTAATTGTGGCAAAGCACAACGGGATTTGACGTGCTTGTTGTTTTTGTCAAGAAAGTTGTCAATGTTTGTGTCAACGTTAATTTATTCCGGTCGGTTTCATTGTGTTTTTTTTTAAATATCACTTCCGTATCTGACTATTTTGTTATATTTGAGTGAAAGGCCAATGAAAATATCAATTTGATTCCTCCCTGTGCTGCATTTAATTGCAAAATAAGATGGCAGAATGACAACCTATTACGGCGCTTAGATGAGAATATGAGTGTTTGCCTCAAATAGCTCCATCTCTGTCGGACCGCTCTTTCTAATGTTGGCTGCAAACAAACACTGTTCGAGAATATGGCCAGGGCCGGTCCATTAGTGAAATGTCATTGGAACTGCCAATATTTGGACTGATAAGCACCAGTACTTTGTATACTCTCCACACAAAAAGTCGCAAAAAAGTTCATCTTTCAACGCTCATATCTCAAAGACCGTAATACCTACAAGATTTCGTCCCATTTAAAGGTTGTTAAGAATTAAATCCTCTACAACATATCAAAATTTGAAAAAAATCGACCGATCGCTGAAATCCCATGTAAAGTGTGCGGGGTCCTTTGTGCGTAAAAACCAAAATTTGTTCACTGAGTGGTTTCAAAACCGTTCATGGGACGGTTTTTGACGTGTTGGAACAGACCAATTTTGTCCAATCAGTTCTTTTTTGTTTTACCCAATTATTTTATAATTTCAAATAAAACTTGTAAGAATCATGTTGTAGGTACTGTGTTATATGTTATATGTATACCTTCCTATTTACACACACAGGGTGTCCCAAAAAGATACCGACAAACTTTAAAGAATAGTAAGGGACATCAAAACAAGCATTTTTGTTTATATAAACATATGTCCGCAAATGAGCCATTTGGGCTGTAGAGTAAAAAAACTGTTTGGTACTTTTATTCTTCGCAATAATTAAATCACTGTTTATTTATTATTTTTTCTTTAATTACAAATAAATTATGGTTTACAATAATTGCTCAAAATGTTGACCATTTACTTCACTGTAAAGATTGCACCGTCGGGTCATTAATAGACAACTAAGTTAATTAAGGAAACCAATCACAAATAATAAATTTCACGACGATCCCAAGGTTCAAAATGTTTTTGATAAAGAAATGTTTTTTCATTTTAAAAATAAACAAAAGTGCGACCACAAATGTTTAGCAAATCATGCTGGTGGCCAACTAAATAAAAAACCGAGTGAAAAATGTCTAATTATTTGGGTATGATTCAAATAGTTTTTTTGCTCTACAGCCCAAACGGCTCATTTGCGGATACATGTTTACATAAACAAAAATGCTTGTTTTGATGTCCCTTAATACCCCTTAAAGTTTGTCGGTATCTTTTTGGGACACCCTGTATATGTGACTTTCAACTGGGATTTTTATTGAATATACAGGTTGTTTGTCAAGTTAGGGTTTTCCTTCTAATATTTTCTTGAAAATTCAAAAATAAAGGAGATATGGTCATTTTAAATAATATTGAAAACCGAATAAGTCCATGTGCAAAAACTTTATTTAATACAAAAAAAAAGTAAAATTCTAACAAAATGTGTAGGAAATCTGAAAGATAATGGAAATGCAAAAACCTTATTCTAGTCTAAAATTTCAATTTGTGATTCCAGGCCCGCCTAAAAAATTTGTTCAAAATGGTCACCATTGGATTCGTTTTACCTTTTTTTCTATTAAATAAAGTTTTTGCACAGGAAGTTATTTGATTTTCCTAAATAAGTTGTTTGAATTTCCGTTTTCTTTCAGATTTTGTAGAATCTTTGTTACAATTCTACCTTTTTTTTTGTATTAAATAAAGTTTGTGCACATGGAATTATTCAATTTTGGATGTTATTTATAAAATGACCATACCTCCTTTATTTCTGTGTTTTCAAGAAAATGTTATTTGAAAAATTCGTTTATTTTTTTAAGTTCTATGTCATCTTAGAAGGAAAACCCCAACTTAAAAAAAACCCTGTATTAATGAAACTAAATACAAAAGCGTTGCTAGAATGAAAACAAAGCACTGGTTTTAATCAGAAACATTTATAGTATAAATAACATAACATAACCACAGCTTACATAACATAACATTTTTACTATAACAACGTAAAAATGTCTGGAGAATTTGGTTGAAATCTAATATTTTAACAAAAGCATTAGTAGTACGTAGTAGCTATTTAATATTTTGAAGAATCTTTTTGGTTGCACCAGTTACCCATATCGATAGAGAATAAGCTAATTGGTTAACTAGAAAAAAAAAATGCCATGTTCCGCAGAAAATCATTATTATCCAAAATGAACAACACTTAGCTTTCCACCAAAAATAATTTTTTTGGCAGAAGTGAAAATTTCCACCTATCAATTTTTTGACCTTGCCATGGCAAATTTACTATGTAATTAATGAATTACATTTTACATCAGTAAGTACATCAATTACATTCATAAGACTTTACATTAACAACCTACATCATTCTTTCAATGTATCTGGGAAAAAGAGTTAATGGTGGGATTATTTAGCTTTTCCTTGGGCAGCAACAGCTTCCATAGCTTTCTTGACCGTTTCTGGATCACCCAAAAATTCCAAACTCTTAATTGGCTTAAGGTTTTCATCCAAAGTGTATACAAACGGAATTCCAGTGGGTAGATTCAATAACATAATTTGGTCATCCGTCATTTCTAAAATGAAATAAAAAATGTGCATTTATGTTTTAAACTTGATAAATATTGTAGAACAAATTTTATTCAAAAATGTATTCGTTCATAAACTTCAACTCGAGCTTCAACTATAAAACAATTATTATTGAATGCACAAATTTAGGTAGGTATCTTATTTTATAAAAAAATTAAAAATATATTACTTAGATTAATAATAATAAATATGTAAAAAAAATTGAAAAGGTTTCTATAATTTTTTTACTTCTGATTGCTATATCCCTAGCTAAATAATTTTTAAATAACCTATCCACATAACATTTTTATATTGCAAAGTAAGCCAAAATATCAACAAACTTACGGTCTAAATGTTTCACGATTCCTCTCAAACTGTTTCCATGAGCAGCAATAAGTATTTGTTTATCGGCTTTGATCTGTGGTACAATGGTATCATTCCAGAATGGCAATGTACGTTCAATAGTCAACTTCAAGCTTTCAAATTTGGGGAATTGATCAGGAGTTGGTCCTTCAGCATATCTTGAATCTTTGGTGATTGTATCATGATAAGGATGGTCAGCTTCCATGGGTGGTGGAGGAACATCAAAACTTCTACGCCAAATGCCAACTTGTTCGTCACCATATTTAGCTGCAGTTTCAGCCTTATTAAGGCCGGTGAGGCCACCATAGTGTCTTTCGTTTAACCTCCATGTTTTTACTACAGGTAAGTCAGTTTGACCAATTTCACCGAGGATAGCTTGGAGGGTATTTTGGGCTCTTGTGAGAACAGACGTATAGGCAACATCGAATTTGTATCCAGCATTTTTGAGAGCTATACCAGCACTGATAGCCTCTTGTTTACCTGTAGTAATTTGAGAAAAAATTCAAATTTATTGCAAAATGAAATACTTTTTTTTACATAATTATATTGCGAGGGGATGTACTTGCGGTTAAAAGTAAAGTTATCAACATCGTTTAAGAGCCTATGGGCCGGTTTCCCAATAGCGAGTCACCCCCGGGTTAAACATAACTCCAGGGTAAACATAGCAACTAGACACGCTCACCCTGGGGTTAAAACCAATCCGGAGGTGACTCGCTATTGAGAAACCGGCCCTATAACAAGTGAAAACGAGAATTCCTGTGGGAAGGTCAAGCAAAGGTCACAAGCAAAACTTACCTTTTTCACTTAAGTTGGCGTCGTACCAGCCACAGAAAAGGTTCTTCTCGTTCCATTCAGATTCACCATGTCGTACCATAACAATTTTAAAAGGTGCCATTCTTAATTTTTCGAAAATTTGTCTTTTTAACAAGTCGAGAACAGAAAAATCCACTGGGACTGGGAATGTCAAGTCAACTACAACCACGACCTCGACACTAAAAGTAATCCTAACCTCATTCCTAAAACAGACAAAAAGCACTGACACTGACGTGACGTGACATGACGTAGCTCAGTGTGTGACTCTAGGAGTTCGGAATGGGATTTTAGTGCAGTGCTAGTGCGGTGTTCGTGTAGTGCAGTGATATCACGTGATGAAAGTGTAATCGGCGGTGTAACCGAATACACCATCTTTCTGTACTGAGTAAACGATGTCCCACCATCTTCACACCATTCGGACACTAAATTATTCCCAAACGCAAAAAAAGTGTACACCAAACACTCCTACCAATTAACGAACGCCATAGTGAACACAGATACAATTTACTTGCCACGCCACGATACAAATTTTCGATTTTTTGGTATTTTGTATCTGTCACTATCTGTACCTTGTATTTGTCATTGTGTCTTGAGCCTTACCAGAGTGGCGACAATTGCCGTCTTCTTTTCAATTGGTTCTTTAAAATCCCATATATTCATATGGAAAACGCCGCCATTTTGCGCCCAACCTCTTGCTAATTTTAAATATGGATTACTATACATACCTATAGGATTTAAATGGACATCCATCATAAAAAATTGAAAACAATAACGTATCCGATGACTATAATTAGGCCATCAAATACGTTGTATTTAAATTTTTTAGGATGGATGTCCAAAATCCTATACAGGGTGTATGTTTTTAGTGATACCACTATTGGTATATCCGAAACGGTAAGAGCCTACAAGGTCCCGTAGATTAGAAAAAAGTTGCCTTTTTTGATGCCTATTCAAGACTTGCTTACAGTGTTGCCAAATTCCTTTTAGTTTATGAAATACAAGGTGGATTTCTAAAAAACGTTTAAAATTATTTCATCAATTATTTCGAAAGCTATATTGATATTCGAGACACAATCTAAATTTGAAAGTATTATAATTTTCTTCGCTCTACACTATGGCATCTCCAAATTTTGAATCCGACGTTTCGTGATCGAGCTTCCATCATCAACTTTATTTTTTTAAATATGAACCTAGATTTTTTATTCCATTTTTACAAAGGGAGTGAAGGGTGCTTTCTAAAAATCACATAAAAAATCCAGGTCCGTATTTAAAAAAATGAATTTGATGATCACGAAACGTAGGATTTAAAATTTCAAGATACCGTGTTGTAGAGCGAAAAAAATTATAAAACTTTCAAAGGACCCCGCACACATCTTATGGGATTTTGGTGCCCGGTCAAATTTGATGAAAATTTGGTATGTTGTTCTTCTTGAGGTCCTGATCAAATGTGTCCATGGGCACAAATGAATCCTATGATTAGTTTCTGAGATACAGGGTGTTTAAAAAGTTGAATAGTCGATTTAAATTATGTGCTGACCAAACTATTTCCTATTTCTTGGGGCTCTACGAAAATGAGTAAGACGAAACAATATTTTTAAATAAATAAATGCTTGCACACATAATGCATCTAAACGATTTTGTATATAGGGTGTATCGTACGTTTCTATTTCAATTTTTTTGGCCCAATCATTTCTGAAATAATTACCAGTTAGATGCATATAAAAAACCCGTGCAGCAGAATATGGCAAATGCTGCTCGCTTCAATAATAAAAGCAGAGAGCCGTAGAGGCTGAAAAGCTGCTACGACATGGACTTTGAAATAAATTCTAGGTATGACTTAATAATCTATGAAATAAAAAAAAAACACATTTTTAAATGGTATAGCATATTTTCTTGTCAGCAGCTACAAAATATTATTAAAACAGAAAAAAAACATAAGAGGTCCCAGGTCTGTACACACTAAAACTAAGGCTATTTTGACCTGGAGAAGTCACTAGAATCAGTAATCCGAATTTGGAAGGCAAACGCGGATCAAAGTTGAAACAACGGCATTCCCCAGGTCAAAAAGTATTTTACTAAACTACTTTTTTTTTGAAAATCATTTATTACAAAACAAATACATACAAAAGAAGTTCAAAGTGTCTTTAAACAGTGTTCTAAACACTGGTCTCAAGAAAAAAAAAAATACTGATAAATTCTAAATCCAACTATGCCGACCACCCGTGCAGCAGAATATGGCAAATGCTGCACGCTTCAACAATAAAAGCAGAGCCCTAGAGGCTGAAAAGCTGCTATGCCATGGACTTGGAAATGAATTCCAGGCATGACTTAATAATCAATGAAATAAAAAAAATCACAGTTATAAATGGTATAGCATATTTTCTTGCCAGCTGCTACAAAATATTATTCAAAAACATAAGAGGTCCAGGTCTTTACACACTAAAACTAAGGCTTTTTTGACCTGAAGAAGTTACTAGAACCAGTAATCTAAATCTGAAAGGCAAACGCGGATTGAAGTTAAAACAACTACATTCTTCAGGTCAGAAAGCATTTAACTAAACTACTTGATACAGTCATAAGGCCAATGAGGCCGACCACTAAATATTTAAATGCGAAAAATCAAATATCAATGTAATATAATAAGTTATCACACAAAATGTCACTTAAGTAAAGTAATATTAAAGTCCGGTAGCTTTCGGCCGTAGAGTAGACCGCCAGATCAACAGAAGTCTGTGGTAACGGCAACGGTGTGAAGCCTAGAAACAACTTAGTCATACATTATTGAAGAAATGAAGTAGTGGGTAAGTTGGGGTTGTCCAATCACTGTTAGTGGACAATGTCTGGCAAATCATTTACATCTGCTGCTAACATTCCTAAACATATCTCCGCTTGGAAAATTAATAATCGGTTGATGGTGACCATAGCTTAGAAACCATACTACAGTAGCAACGTGACAGCACATTCCAACTACTCTGGCACCAGATCGACATGAACAATAATATCCCAATATTAAATTCCTTTCTGTGTCGTAATTGATGAAAAGCTGATACTTAACAGAATTCCTGTGCCGAGATTTCATTCTTATTCGTTACAAATTAGCATCGTTTAATCTCGTATCGTATTCAAAACAATTATTCCCATCATTTTCGTTATTGTCTTGAATGTATGATGGGGCTAAACGCAATTGAAAAACTCCGAAAGTTAGATGTTGAAGTTCTTCTATGGGTAATATTGGAAAATCGAGCTGATCTTCAGTAAGAGGTTCCCATACTCCATGCCTCCGAAGTAATCCTTCTCTTTCCAGTCTTTCCTGCAATATGTTGCGCTGTTGTGACTTCAATAACATTTCACGGGCCAAATTCTCTGTCGCTTCTTCCATAACAATTGAGGGATGATATTTGTTTATTAAAGCACATGCTATCCTGATGTAATCGCGAATGTGTGGAATACTAGTATTAGGAATTTGGTCTGTGAATATTTTGAATATTGATTTCAGATGTCCATTTCGGGATTCGACTATCCACCTACATTTTGTTATAAGCCGAGACTGATTTGCTTCAGCTGTTGTTAGCTGAGATCTTCGGCCAAGATGAGCGGGCATTTCAACTCGAATTCCAATGTCTTGTAAGAATTCCTGAGCATCTCTGTAACCACGATCAAGTACAAATATGTCTCCTTCTTGAAAATAATTTCGAAGTTGTCCAAGATCATTTTGATATTCGTGGGTTAACATTCTTGCATCGTTGTTACGAGAATTTGAAAAATATGGCCCATGCACATCTATTATGTAACCATCTGGGGAAACAATTAAAGCCGCCTTCAAGAGATGATATGATTTATGTACCGAAAATGATTTCCTAAGAACCTGAAAGTTTCTACTCTTTTGAATTTTCAAGTACGTTCCGTCAATAAAAGCAATAGCTTTTGGTAGCTGAGGCTCTGGATTATATAATCGATTAGCGAAAGGGGTCACATGCTCTCTAATGAATCGTTCGTGTGACATATGATCATATCCTAAGTTTTGATTCACAAAGGTTGCTAGAGAACTTGTCACTTTTGCAATGACGAGACTCGTTGTTTGTCTACTTGGATAGGAAAACATAGCAGTTAAAAAATTATCTGATAAACCTTGTTTAAGTTTACATAAAAAACATATGAGATCTTTTTTCGTTATTACTCTTGACCTGTTATATATGACCACATTATTACAACTATCAAAAACAGCGTTGAACTGTTCTTTTGTTAATGAGGTCAAAGATTTCATCTCATCATCTGTATAATTACTTTCATCATCAAACTTGTTAAAATCATTTACGTTGTTCCGAAGTTGAGAAATGAAAGCATTTAATTCGGAACCTTTAAGTGTATAAGGCCTCGTGATACCCCTGAAGCCATTTTGCAAGGGAGCTACCACCAGTTGATGAATAGTCAAATGACCGGGACATATTCTGGAACCATCAGGAATAAAAATGTCTTTTCTTACAAATACGTCAACTCTGGCTTTTAAAGAAATACGCTGGAAAGCCTCTTGATTACAAACAATACAGTTACGACGGCGGTTAAAAAGTACCTTGAAAACAGTTGGATCGGGATCTTCAGCATAAACTTGAAGCTCTTCTAAAATACTTTGATAGCACGTGAAACATATTCGAGAGTTATCATTTTGGTCCTCGTCCAGAAGTTGCAGTTCTTGCCTCCGTTTAACCGCCGTGTTTCTAAGCTCCTCATTTTGGACAAACGGAATTACTTGTCGAGGAGCATTGATAGATTCACAAACATAACAATTGAATCTGAGACGAAATGCCATGTCAAATACCGTTAAGAGCACTTATTTTATTATAATTATATATTAGTATATGTAAATGGTATATTCGTTGGAATTAATAAATAAGAATATGTAAATAAAAATAAATAATTCATCAAAGAAGAAATAATTAATCGAATGCACAAAATATCAGTAACCGTCAATATTCTGACTGTTGCCATCATCACCTAGCAACCAAATAATCGAATGAAATATTTGACAGCATGGCTGACTGGAATAAAGCAGAAGTTTTTTTTTTTTTTTATAAAGCAGAACATTTCATCAAGAACATTTTGTGAAAAATGCCAAATAATAAAGTTTTTCATATGCAGTACCCTGAATTTGGCAAAGTTAAATATAGCTGAAAACTGCAACTATCTTTCAAATATTCGTAATTTTGTATAAATAGAAATAGAAAAATATTTCAAAACTATTTATTACATCAAATCATTTTAAAAGTACCTATTCCGAAATTGATTGGGTCAAAAAAATTGAAATAAAAACGTGTGATACACCCTGTATACAAAATCGTTTAAATGTATTATGTTTGGAAGCATTTATTTATGTA